TATAATTAACAAGAAAAGAAGAGTCTACATTCCTTTGGTTAAGCAGTTTGAAAGGAGAAGAGGGTGTTCAACACTTTTCTTGTGTTCATTTTCTACTTCCTCTCTACCAATATTTATCATTAGGTGTTTTGAAAGTCATGCAATTTTCTTATCAAGTTAATTTCATGTGTGAAGATTGACTCTTAAATCTTTTCAACCTTAAAAAACCTAATTGCTAATGGCAATATAACTAATTAAAATCATATATACCATGTAACTGAAACCAAACCAATTTAATTTAACATGAACAAGAAAAAAGTATCCTACAAGGGGCAACTTTTAAAGCTGTAATGCAAATATATTTTTGATAAAGAGTTTATGCAATTAAATCCAACACAAATAATAAAGTGACCCAAATTAAATATTCTGTTTGCATCTACAATATTATGTGTTTACTGGTCAGAAGTTTGAAATATTTCTTAGCTTTGGTACTGTGTTTATGCAGTTGATTAATTTCTTTTTAAAAATACAGTACGAACAAAACAAGTGTGCTTTTTTACATCAAATATTTCATGAATTGTTTGTAGTGTGTTTTTTTCGGCTCGTGAGATTGGTCATAAAATGTGATGTCTCACAGATAAAAAAAAATATTAAAAACACTCTTTCTTCCTTTTACTCTACTTTATACATTCTCTTTTATCCTTTTACTCAATTTTATACATTCTCTTTCATCTTTTTACTCAATTTTTATTAATTTTATATTTAAACACACTCCTAATTTCTCTCTCTTATGTCTTCCATGAGACATAATCTCTCCAAAAATACTCACTATTTCTTCTCTTTACTCAAATTTTATTAATTTTATATTTCAATACACCTTATTATTTCAACCAAAAACACTCTCTTTCTTCCTTTTACTCAAATTTTAATAATTTTATATTTAAAGACACCCATATTTTATCACCAATGTGGATGCTCTAATTATAATAACTTTATGCAACTAAAAATAGTATTAGTTTTAAAACTGACTCGTGGATAAAGATTTGAGTGCGCTATGCATCCAACGCAGGGCAACGAATCTTTGAC